ACATCCTATATAAGGGCCGTTAGACAGAAAGGCAACGTGAGGCAGGATGCGTACAGTAGTGGTGGAACATGGGAAATCCCTGTGGTGCAACTCACTGCTCTCCACCACTATCATTATGATGATGATGATGAGTGCATCAATTTCAGAGCAATCTTTATGGTAATATCTTCCCTGCTCATACCAATAACAAATGTAATTCTTTCATGCAATAAGCTCAGAGCAGTTCAGAGCTGTTTTGAAGCCATTTTCTTGTAAGTTTTGGCGTTGATCTGCCTCTAAGTCATTTTATTTGATCCTTCTGAGGCACTTACTGCCACCTACTGGGCAGTCAGTGTAACTCCATAAAGATTCTCCTCATTGCACAATCAATGCAGACTACCAAGGGAAGGTGTCTGCAACCTTTAATATCATAAGAGCCATTAATATCATAAGAGTCCAGCTACGTGAAAATCATTTAGAGCCACAAAATGTTAAATGACTTTCTAATAAAACACAACCTATTATACTGGTTAAATGTTTGCCATAAGATATCTGCTGCCACATTAAACAACCAACAGTTTATATTTTAATTTTTTTTTTAAATACGGAAAAATATAAAACGATTCATAAAGATGAAGCGTGGCTTTTTCTTTTATAGGATATTATTTGATAGTAAAGAAAAAAAACAATAATAAAAAAGAAAGAAATAACAGCTTAACACATTTTTGGTTATTTTAATGTGATACTGTTTTGCAAATCTAATTCAAATAGTCTTTACAAAAACAGCTAGAGCTTCTAAGACTAAAATGAGTTAGTATAGCACATTAGTTAATTCTTTATAACATTTTTAACCACTATTAAGAGCCATTGTAAGCCAAGTTAACAACATTTGAAATGACAAATTAAGAATAGGAACTATTTCAGATTCTTCAAAACTTTAGGTATGGATTTTATGATGGGGAAATTTCACATAAATTGTCTGTCAATTAAAGTGTATGTAATGCATCTATGTTATACTTGAAATTTTGAGAGGGGGAAAAGGAAGGATTGTGGTCTTTTATTTATAGTGGAGAGAAGGAAGCTCAGGTAGAATGTTAGGAGTAAATCCTAATTGTACATTGTGAACATTTAGCCTATTTCCCATCATTACACCCCAAGTTGCCAATGAACATATATTTCAAATAAAAAAAAGGTCCTGCAGGATAAACAGAGGAATGTGGTAAATACATTTACTAAGCTACATTTAGTTGAGATAGTATTAGAGATAAATGTACTTTAGGAGTAGTTGTACTTTGCAGTACTTTTTACTTTTACTAAAGCAATATTCTTGTGAGTGTATTACTATTTTTTCTTGAGTAAAAGTTCTGGTTACTCTACCCATAATAAGTAATTTGAGCTACCGGTATTTGGAGATCAAGTGAATAAATAGTAAACAGTAAATAATGTTACTTGAACTTTTTTATCCTTACCCATATGCATTAGTTACTTTTATAACTGGTTTTATATGTTCATGTCAAAAAATTTATTTGAAAAACTGTAAGTTTACCTGCAATTTTATCATCATGTCATTTTTACTTTGTGTTTCATTACATAAGCTTAGACATTAAAAATCAGATTTTAAGACCCAACTATTACTCTGCACTTTATCAACCATTTACCCAAGTTTCTTACTATTACTTCTACTTTCACTTGAGTAAAAAAATATCAAAGTAGTGCTAATCCTTGTTGAGTAAAGATTTTGGGTACCGCACTCTACCCACCTCTAAGAAAAACCACACGCAAAAAGGGCCTGACTGGGAATCTAACCCAGGACCTTCTTGCTTCGAGGTAAAAAAGCTAATAGCTGCACCACCAAGGAGTCTCTTTATAGATTAGGTCAAAACATATATCAATATGTATTTCACTTATGATATTGTTTAGCTGACTAACTATTTAAAATAAATGTGGTGAGAAATTAGTTTTTAACCCTTAAGAATCATGAGAGTCAATAAAAATTATTGTTTGCAGGGATACCTCATGTACGAAACAATCTAAAGGCAGATTATTTAAGTATGATAAGAGGGGGGCTGCACAGTGGTATAGTGTGTAGCATTGTTGCCTAGCAGCAAGAGTGTCCTGGGTATTGATTCCTGGCCCAGGGTCTTTCTGCGTGGATCTTGCATGCTGGATTTTCTCTGGGTACTCCAGTCTAGCAAGTCACAACAGCTGCTATTATGTCAAGGCAGGTGGAAGTAATCCTGCTAAATGCAGGTTACCTTTCTTCAGATGACCATGTGCTTGATTGCAGCTTTTTTTGATCCAGCAAATAATATTGGAATCAACCATATGCCTAAAAAGCCTAAAATACACATATACCAAGCCCTTTTACCAAGTGAACACACTATAAAACGGAGTTGTGGTCTTTTTCTTAAATAAAAAACTATTCATTAGAAAGGTGTAATATGTGTAATTGTAATATGTGAAGATTTAAAAATTGCTAGATTTCAAGAACTTTTTTGCCCTTGAATTCAGGTATGATCTTTCCCTTTTTTTGCTATACATCCTGTCTATATTCATACAGATCTAAGACAGACTACAGACTACAGGTCAAGATTGGATAAACAAATATTGCATACTGGTAGTTTCTGGATAAAATGTTGACTAGAATGTACAACTGATTGGTACTTATGACGTACAAGGTGCCTGCACACATATTTGATACCTTTACGTATTTTAAGGGTTAAAATGCGGTGTTCAGCTAATTTAATGCACATAAAAATTTGCTGTATTTGACATGCCTAACTATAACTCACTCTATCTGGAAAGTTAGGATTGTCTGTTAACAAAATATCCTTCATATGCTACAGAGGCTTTATATCTTAATATCTGTGTGGTCCAGCTTGCCAATGGCATTAGTATGAACTATAAAAACAGAAATCATTTAGTCTAACTGTTGCAAATTTCCTGTTGTGAGGTATAGCCTAATGAATCTTATGTTCTATATTGAAGAATCCCTTCGTAATGTTTTTTTTTTCTGTGGCCATGGAAGGTAGTGAAGACGTGTGTGTGTCCTTTTAACACTTATGATGGTACAGGAAATAATGTCTTTGTCAAGGTTTTCAGAATCTCCTACTGCTTACAGGAACATAAAACTAGCAAAACAATCTGAGCCCAACACCAATCATCCGTCTAACAGTAAATGTATGGCTCATTTCAGTGTGATACTGAATTTTAGCAGCTGTCTGCACAGGTAGCCGACGTCTTCCCCAGAAAAGCAATAATTCTCATGCAGGTAACTGTCTGGAAAAATGTAAAGGCGGGCAAGCAATTTTAAAGGAAGACGCATGTTTTTGGAGCTACTTCTATAGCCAGACTTTATGAACAAAGCCTTACCTTCTTTACCAGCCATTTCTCTATGCAATAGTCTATTAAAGATCTTTCTGTTGCTTAGAATTGATTAACTTTATTCATCTCACAGTGGAGAATTTTACCCGTTACATCAGCTCAAATAGTCAACGGAGAAGAAAGTGCCAAAGGAAGAAAAAGCTACATGTAATATATACAGTAAGATCAATATACAGGGTATTACACAGGGTGTTTACATAATTTAGACAAACAGGTTATTGCACAGGGTATTAAATAGTGATGGCACATTATATGTTGCATAAGTTATTGCCTTTGTATTGTTGCATTGTAGAGTCTCATAGATGAATGACCTGCGGTAGAGCTCCTTTTTACAAACAAGGTTTAAAAGTCTAAGAACAGCAGCCATCTTAAAAAACATACTCCAACAGTAAGAATGTACAATTGGAAAATCATACAGTTAATCATGGATAATGATGTTAAAATAATTAAAGAGGGGAAAAAAACTCATAGGATATCCACAGAATACCAGCCTTATTCCTTTTCTAAGTAGGACTCTGGTTTTTATTGGGGTACAGAATGTTATCAATGGCGCCATCTCCTGGCCAAACCACACTGCGCAGGCAAGATGTAATTAGTCACTGATGACATATCATTGAGGTATATTGAAGCTTGCTGAGGCTTTAGGGACTTATAATTAGACAGATAACATTATATTTAAATCTTATTAAACTTGATAACTAGATTACATCTAAAATACGGCTTATATTGATACTAACAGTTGCAGTTTTACCTGAAGTGTCAAGTAACAAAATAAAAATACTTTGTTAAGTAAGTACACATTTTGGCTAGCTATACTTTACTGAACTAATATTTTTTTAGAGGAATTTTTACTTC